CGAAACAGCAAAAGGATCGTCGCGCGTTCGACCGTTTCTCATTCTTAATTTCTTTTATTTTGCGTACAAACGATAAAAAGCCTTTTCATTCCGCTGCTTTTGCCACGTTTCTTGTCACGCGACGGTTACTTAGAACGGCCGTTATATGTACATAGTTGGAAAGATCCGTGAAAGTAGAACGAGCCCAGATTGGGAGTCGTATTCATAATTGGTAGATGGTGCTCGTGCGAAACACTCGGTGTTCGTTACAAGTGAAATAACAGTTAGACGGTGTGTACTTTGTGCCGTCGCGTGTTAGCGTTTCAAATTTTCGGAGAAACACTCTCGTCCCGAAAATTGGAATAGGAAGAACGAATGTAAAGAAAGAAACGTGAAAACGTCTCTTGGGCCTGGCGATATCAAGGAAAAAGAGAGTACAGTCCTAATTACCGGCGTTATCGGCGAGAAGAATAGGGCACGTTTTCTGGCGTCTAAAAGGAAGGAAGGAAGGAAGGAAGGAAGGAAGGAAGGAAGGAGAAACGGTGAAGTCGCCTAAGCGAGGGTCAACCAGACGGCATGGCAGTCAGATGCACGAGACGCGAGGAATTAATTGAATTTGGTAGGCGGCCGGTTTGCCTTTCGCGAAACAAGAACGAAAGGGCAGCAGTGCCGCGATAAGGACTTCCCTTTTTAGGCGAGACGCGTTAGCCTCTTTCACGCGGTACATTACGGCCAATGAGAGAAAGGAGGAAAGTTTGCCGACGACGAAACGGGCCAAGTAACAAAAGCAACCCCCTGTATCGCGTAACGCTTGGAAAAGCCACGCGTTACGTCACCGTCTTGTTTCTCTCTCCAAAATCTCCAACTTCCTCGAAAGCTTTTCGCAAACGCACAATTTTTCAAAAACGTCACCGATAAACCACTCCCTATGGGATTGGCTTCTTATCGAGAGAATGCAGACGCAACGCTGAGATTTGCAATCGTGATTTCCTCTTCGTCGATCGACCAGGTCCGAGAAGGTTATCGCGTTTCGAATTTGATAAGAATTCCTGCGCATCCGCGGTATCCGATCGATCTAATGAAATTCGTTTGTCCGTGTTCGAACCGTGGTTACAGAGTCGAGAATGTTCTCGCCGGATCTGAGATTCCTTCGCGATATAATTGCCGAGGAGTTTGAAACGTCGGAAGAATTAACTCGGTCCCGATGAAATTAAACAATGTGGAGCATTTCGGGAAAATTAGACGGTGATTAGAGAGAAACGAGCGATTCCTTTTAAGTCTACCTTACCTCCAGTGGCTTTTACTTCATCCAAGATTTAGAGGAGGACTTCTTTTGAGAAATTGCGAAGGATTTCCCTCGGTTTTCTTTCAAATACATACATACACACGTACGCGAGTTGTTCGTAACGGAGAGCTGAAAAGTTTCGTAGCTTCTCACCCTCTGCTCCCACCTTTTTCTCTCCTCTAAGATTTCTCGGAGCATCGTAGAATCTTTGCAACTCGTTAGTATCGCGACCCCAAACAAAGTCGGAGAATCGTCGAGAAATACAATTCCAGATCGGCGTCTTTTTCCAGTTTCGAGTTCTTAACAAATATGTGGCAAGACTTCCGGAACGTCTCGAGTTTCTGCAGTCGATGGTAGTTTGCTAGTTCCCTTACTTCTCGCTTTTCAGCTCCAGTCCGGAATGCGTTATTTTAAATCGTTTTTACTCTAATTTTTCTCCAACCGACTCCGCTCTCAAATTTTCCGTATACGAATGTCAAGAAGATCCATGGAAGATCGAGGGTGATCGTTATCGTAGCGCGATCACGTTCGAGTAGTTGGACGTATTAAAAAGGAGTCTGTTGTACATTTATCAATGCGCATGCAGAAAATGTGCATTCGGATTCACGTAGGTATTTCCTGTTGCTCTGGAAGCGAGTAATCCTCGAGGGAGGGGAGCACGCGGCAGCTGTTAACTCCGCTTGCGGACCTCGAGCATATTTGCGCCGATAAAACGAATAGATTGTCCCGAGTTTCACGGCAACGACCCTTTTTTCTTTTCTTTTTATCAGGGCCTCCTCGCGAAGGGACACAAAGGGGGAAGAAAAAACGGTTCCACTTCGACGCAGCGAAATAGAAATTGCACGGGCGCTGTACTTGCGACGAAAGTTCCATCGCAAGAAATGGGAATGATAGGGAGGGAATATCGGTGAAAACAAAGTATGGAGTTAGTGTCTATTAAAAAATCGTCCTGGGTTTAAATGAATTCCGAAAGTTGGGGTTGCTCGTTGGGGAAGTCTTGAGAATGTCGCCAGGGCACAGATTAATTTACCTTACCCCGACGGAATACTTTCTTTACAAGTATTAATTTCATTAAAAATTGATTTTCAGTTCTAAGCGACGGTAAAACTTTACGGGTAACCTGAGAAGTTCAATTAGTGCTGTTACTCGTCGAATCAATTTACTCTTTTTTCGTCGAGCGCCTTTTCTTTCTCGTCGAAATTAATTTCCTTCCTTCCTTCTGATTCGCTGCTGCCCCGATCCTCCTGTCTCTTCTTCTACCAGCGGAAAGAAATGAATAAGCTGTCGTCAATTTAGCGTCGTATGAAAGTTTGCGGTGTATCCCGGAAAGTAATTTGAAAAGTGCGAGTAGCGACGTGGCTCGGTATCGTTACATCGGTCGGTCTCCAGGGAAATTTCAAGTGCATACTTCATAAAGCTACCGGTTGTCCAAGAGAAAGGAATCTGAAAAGTCCCGACTGGAACAGTCTAACGAAACTGTTCGTTAAAAAGTTACTCCTTCGTCCGCGAGAAGACCTTATAAAGTCTTACTCGCTAATAGTCCGAAATGAAATTACACGTAACGGGCGAAAAGGTGGATACAATCTCCGGCTGGCTTCGCCTGGCCTTAGCACTGGATTTCAAAGCGTGTAGTAGCCGTGGCGTTAATCCTCGTTGAAACAAGAGTCCCTGACACTTACGAAACGAAGCTACTAAAAGCCAACGAATCGTCCACATTGTCAGATTACCCTCCAAATCCCCCGTTCAAACGTTCCACCAACGAAACGTAATTAGGTATGTACAATACCTACATCTACTCTGTACGCGAACGGATTCGACCATAAACGTGTTCCATTCCATTTATCTCTGACCAATATCAATGGACGATTTTCCAGTTGATCGTCCATTACGAAAATGGGACGAGTAGTCAAACGTTACCGAATGTCGCGACCAAACGATTCAAAAGGAAATTTAGTCTTTTTTTTTTCTAAACGAACGCCTTGAACGAACGTCAGTTACTTTGACTAAATCCGGGTTAAAGGTTCGCGATCGAAATATCGGAGAACAGCTGGGTCAAGTATTTGCATGTAAAAGTAAATTTCAAAGCAATCGGAAAACACCGGAAGACCCTTGTCACACTTAATACATGTCGCGTTTTTTCCATTTTCCATCCCCTTTCCGGTGCAAACTCTTTGACGAAGAAGAGAAAAGGGAAAAGCAGAGTGACGTGAATTCTCGATTTTGCCTGGTTAAGCGCGATTAACGAAGTAAGTTTTACCGGCGCACCTTCCACGGGCCGGAATGACCGCGGAACGACTCCCTTCGCGCTCGTCTTCATATTTGCATCGGTTAGTGAAAAGCTCTTTCGGTGGATGCGCGTAATCCCATTCCCGATGGTAATCTTGGGTGGAGCGGTAGCCGAATAAATTTATGGGAATCGCAGGAAAGGAATTCGCGGGTTTCGAATTTAAAGCACGTATTCAATGTAAGTGCATTAGGGAAAGTCGGACGCTTCTCGGTTAATGGCCTCTCGATAATTCAGTTAATCGGTTCATCGACTATCGAGGCGGACGCGTCGAATTAGCCTGCACATTTGTAGTTTACTTTTAGAGATAATTACACCGCGTCCGCTCGTAATTTTGCCGGGTGGAAAAAGAGGGGACTCGAACACTCTGAACAGCTAACTTGTCGTCGCGACTTCGTTTCACCAATCCTTGACGTTTAATTAAGCAA